GGAAAGTAATATAGGATATACACTTTAATTAATTAAGAGAGAGTTGAGTATTAATTAAAAAAGTAGTAAGAGTAATTTTGGGAAAAAAATTATAAAAGTGAGAAAATTATATTATTATCAATTAAATTAACTATTTTTTTAATCTTAATGAATTAAATATTTAAGTTTTATATACAAGATAATATTATTTTTTTCTTAATTAATATTTATTTATTTTAATCAATTAGAGTGTATATTTTAAAAAAAATTATAATTAATATATTTTATTAAATTAAGAAAAGTACACTTTAGTTATAATTATTTTAATATGAACAAATTAACATACAAGACATAAGAAAATATGAATTGAATGTTATATAGAACAAGAAGTAAGTATTTTAAATTGAATCTTATATATCGACGGAAATAATATGTTTTTTTTTTAAGGAATGAAAGTGATAAAGTCAGCTTAATTATTAAGATAAAATAATAAAATAGACAAGTTAATTAATGTAATAACAGCCTTAAGGCTATTAACATATGCATGCATGTTTTGTAAAAAAAATAAATATATATGCGTATATGAAAATTTAAAAAAAAATCCAAATAATTAATTAGACAATTAACTATTTTATTTATTGTACTAATATTTTAAACATTTAAAAAGATTATATTAAATTTAATAAGCACGTCACTATAATTTTTTAACTAACAAAATATTTTCATATAAATTTTAAAATAATAATTGTAAAAATAAAATGTTAATATATATATATATATATATACTATTTGTGAAAAGAAAAAAAAATTATGCTATCAATTAATTAAATTATTATAAATGTAATTTCTAAAGTAATTATTACATAATTAAACAATTATGTCATATAACAAATTACCTTGAGAAATTTATCTTTTAACTTGTAGACACTCTATATCCACAAAAATATTTAAAAAAAAAATGATAGTATGGAAAAAACTTACATTGTCATTATATTTTAATAAAATTTAATCTTATTAAGATTTTGTCTTTATATAATTCGTTTTATAACACTGATTTAATTTTCAATAAAGAAATAATAATGCTTAAATTTTTTTAAAATTAGAATAAAATTATTATAGCAACAATTAAAACTAATATAATAAAAGAATTTTTTTGATGACACGTATGATTCTACAAGTACTTTTTTTTTTATAACATAATTTTACAAGTAAATTGAAAAATCTAAATTCCTATAATTGTAAAAGGAAAAGAAATACTACATTGGAGTGAGAATATGAGAAGGGTAAATTGGTCATAAAAAAAGTTGAAAATACTTAGAAATATAAGAGTTAGGTCCGACAATGTTAGTCAGAATCGATCACACAACTTTTGTTCTCGCACTTCGCTGTCTGTCTGAGGTTCGTTCCAAAGAAAAAAACATTGCAATTTCTTAGGACAGCTCTGCTATGCTTTCTTTTGTTTTCGAATTTTCTTCTGAAACCCTAAATTTTTGTCTGCTGCAAGCTTTGGGATCTTCCACACTTGAAAAAAACACTGCTTCTTGTGTTCAACCCATCACAATTTTCATTCCTTAGATCTTTGAATCAAAGATAATATCTGATCATTATTTTTTGATATTTTTTTTCCCTTTTGATTCCTTTTCAGGTTCTGGGTTATCAGTGTTTAGAGAGCACAGCATCATCTCTTAGGCAAGGTAACAAGTAACAACTCTTGCTCTACCAGTGCATATATCTATGTGATTTTGTTCATGCATCTGCATTTTTTTAGGTTTACTGTAACGTGGTCTTCATGCTTTTTTGTCTATCCGTTAATATATTACTTTTTGGGATAATTTTTATTGGCCACCCATAATTCCATTTGCAGTTGCTTTTATTTTTATTTGTTTTTCCCCTTTTTGTGGTTCCTTTGGTTAATTTTCTTGTGGCGAACTTCCGTATATGTGAAATTGACATGTTTTGGAAGTGAAGAATTCTCTATGATCTTAATTGTTAGAAAATATGGAAAATAAAAACTGCTCCTCTTTTTTTATGATTCCTTGTTAAAAATTAAAATCAGGCATGCGGTTAAAAGCCCTGGAAATCCTGATGATGGATGTTATGTTGAGGCATAAATTTCTTTTGTGAACAATATAAGATTCTTTAGTTGAATTGGGAGGTTGTCCTGTATTTTTGGAGGCACATGAAGCTTCTTAAATAGAAAGTATTATGGTTTTGGGTGAGGGAGAGATTTGTTGATCAATTTTGATATCTAGTATGCTTTCCAAACTGTTGGTTGTGTCACGTGAATTGCTTTCACCTGGGCGTTTTTAGGCACAAAAGTCACATGCTTTAATGCTTAGTATACGCCAAGAAAGAAAGATCAAAGATGTTTCACAGGCGTTTCTTGGCACAAAAGCCGCATGCTTTAATGCGTTGTATATGCCAAGAAAAAAATATACGACGGTTTCCTTCTTGTGTGGAGCTCCTATAGTTTTACATCACGATTGAGAACACTGCATTAGAGGCCCTTTTTTCATTCCTTCCATGTTTTCATCGAATACTTTAATCATGTTATACTTGCTGATGTAACAACAGGTTTGCTTTAACGATTGCATGTTTTTTTGGTTTGGTTGTGTGTGAAGTGTAGGCACTCTTTTCATTCTATGTTTGATTTTGCCTGAAACAGAATGGATCATCAAGGGCATAGCCAGAACCCATCTATGGGGGTTGTTGGAAGTGGAGCTCAATTAGCATATGGCTCTAACCCATATCAGCCAGGCCAAATTACTGGGGCACCGGGGTCAGTTGTGACATCAGTTGGGACCATTCAATCCACCAGTCAACCTGCTGGAGCTCAGCTGGGACAGCATCAACTTGCTTATCAGCATATTCATCAGCAACAACAGCACCAGCTTCAGCAACAGCTCCAACAATTTTGGTCAAATCAATACCAAGAAATTGAGAAGGTTACTGATTTCAAGAACCACAGTCTTCCCCTGGCAAGGATCAAGAAGATTATGAAGGCTGATGAGGATGTTAGAATGATATCAGCTGAGGCTCCAGTCATATTTGCAAGGGCATGTGAAATGTTCATATTAGAGTTAACCCTGCGTTCTTGGAATCACACTGAAGAGAACAAAAGGCGAACACTTCAAAAAAATGATATTGCTGCAGCTATCACAAGGACTGACATCTTTGATTTCTTGGTTGACATTGTGCCTCGTGAGGACTTGAAAGATGAAGTGCTTGCATCAATCCCAAGAGGAACAATGCCTGTTGCAGGGCCTGCTGATACACTTCCATACTGCTACATGCCGCCTCAGCATGCACCCCAAGTTGGAACTGGTGGTGTCATAATGGGTAAGCCCGTGATGGACCCAAATATGTATGCTCAGCAGTCTCACCCCTACATTGCGCCACAAATGTGGCCACAACCACCAGACCAACGACAGTCATCCCCGGAACATTAGCTGACATGCCATGGAAATTAAGGTGAATTTTAGGCTCTCTCACCCTTTTTAATCATCTGTCCATGCTATGAGTTAAGTTTTATGTTGAAATGCTTATTTCAGTGTATTACGCTGATTATAGTTAAGTTTGATGCTGCAGGCCTTTGATTTCACTTTTTTTTCTTTTTCTTAATTGATTCTGAATGTTATTCTGTTATAGATTATTATAGTTAAAAAAGCATACAAATTGCCTTTTGTGCTGCCCTTTTAAAAATGAGCTTTATCAGAGTTTCAACAAAAACATTTTCTCTGTTTATTTATTGAGTTAATCACTTATACACTGCCAATGTAAAGTTTTTTTACACTGCCAGCCAATCATATTTTTTAATAGTTCCATGTCAGTTGCTTATTTAATGAAATAATAATAAAATAAGCAATTTTAAAAGATATGATTGGTTGCCAGTTTTTTTTTTACACTGGCAGTGTATGAATGATTAACTTTTATTTATTTACTTGATCAGCTTAAGTGATCTTTTATATTTTTACCTGTACTGTTATTGATCACTGTTATTTTTGTCTGACATTGCCTACTTCTCCTGGTTTGCAGATAACCAGGCACTGCAATCAGTTGTGAATGTCAAACTGAATGGTTGGGGAAGGTCCATAGCAAGCAGAAGCTGTAGCTGATAGTTTACATGCAATGCAGACTATAAACGTATGTAGATAATGTGCTAGGGAAAACTTAACCTTATCGTTGATTTAGCTGGATAAAATGTTATTTTTCATGGTTTAATTTACAGGTTGTCAGATGATAATATTTATTTACTGGTGCATAGCAGGATTTTTACCTGAGTTTAAACTTGTCATGCGCCCAAAATATATCTCATCTTTTCATTCACATCACGGGCTTCCTTATTAAACCTGTCTACCTGTCTTTCGGTTTGTGGAAAGAAATTGTGTTGTCTCATGATATGCGTACAACTTGTGCGACAGCACAGTTGCACAGTTTTGTGATATGCACCATATTAATAATTCTGCCGACCAATTACATCGTCTTCTACCCTCCATCACCCATCAAAATAAAAGGGGGAGAAAGAAATGCTATTTAGTTGCTGCATGGTAAGGCTATGGAGAGGTAAATCGTAATGTATGGAGGTTGAGCTTTTTCACTACAAAGGAATGTTAGCTACACACTAGTGTAGGACTTAGAATAGTGTTTTCTTTAATAAATTTTAGTCAATAATAAATATTGTGTTCAAAAGGATATGGTAGTGTGTTGGTAATTTAAACCCAGACCAATTTCTCAATTAACAATTAAAACCAATGTTTTATCTCTTGGTCTATTTGGCTTCAGTAGTCGATGTTACCAAAATGTTTAAGGTAGATAACAATATGTCATTGGAAAATCGTTTGTGATCTTACTTGATGGAGCATTGAAAGTGAAAATTGAAAATCATGTAGAGATAGGCATGGAAAAAGCGAAAATGGGCCAATTAATCGAGGAAACAATGATATTTGCAAGTATGTGGTGCTCATTACATGATGGTGAGCCAAACACGGGCAGCTGGAAATAGACAACTAAGGTTAGGTCACCACCATAAATGGAAAAGTTGAAGTAGCTGGTTCAGTCAGCCCAATCAAGGTTAATCTTGGTCAATAATCATATAAGGGAGCGTGTGCGCCAGTAGTATAAATAATATAGACTATACAGTGACAAAAAATAAAATAAGACACTTTACAAAATTTTACCTCTTAATTCTGAATCACATCTATTTACATGTTGCATAAATTTGGCTCAATTTTTATAAACTCCACTGGTGGAAGAAAAGGACGAATCACATCTAATAAATTAAGAAAACTTTGCCATCATATCATGTACGTTTCCGTTTCATGACAATTCCTTCAAGGATCTCACCAGTGCCAAAATCACCAAAAAATTGAGGGGGTATTAACTTAGCAAAGCAGCTGAAAGGAAATGGAGAAATGCCCCCGTGGACAACGGTTCTGAGCTTGTATTTCAGACACCTGAGGCTGAGGGTACGTTAATACTCTCTTCCCAATTGAAGTTAATACACGGATCAATATTTATATCATTTGAGACAACGAATCAATCTTAATATGACCATTAGCTTAACAGCTTCATTTCAACTGAACTATGACCAATTGTTTTTGCTATCCTTCTATGCTTCATAACTTTTCTAGTCACATTCACCTCTTCCCACCTGCCAGCCTTAGCATATATATTGGATAGAAGAACATGCACTCCACTCTGATCAGGTTCCAGCTCTGCTAGTCGTACTTTCACTTGATTAGCAACACACAAGTTTTCATGAATCTGGCAGCCATTTAAAATAGCACCCCAAATGGGAATATTTGGTTGTACGGACATTGTCTCTAATAATCTTTCTGCTTCTCCTAATAAACCAGCCCGACTCAAAAGATCAACCAAGCAGCCATAATGCTCTCTTCTTGGCATTATACCATACATCCCTATCATTAGTCTAAAATGCTTTTGAGCCTCTTCAATCAGTCCAACATGACTACATGCGAATAAAACTCCAATATAGGTAATATGATCAGGGACTAGAGAACTATCCTCTTGCATTGTTTGAAACATACTCAATGCTTCATTTCCATGACCATGCATCGCTAAACCATTGATCATGCTAGTCCACACCACCACATCCTTTTTTTGCAAACTATTAAAAATCTTCTGTGCACTTCCTAACTCACCAGTCTTGGCATACATGTTAAGAAGAGCAGTTGCCAGGGCAATGTCTGTTGCAATGCCGGTTTTCAACAGATAAGCATGAACAGTTTGTCCCAATGCCAGACCACACTGATGGGCACAAACACTCAAGACACTCAGAAAGGTAGCCTTATCAGGATGAAAGCCATTACTCCACATATCAAAAAAGAGATCTAGCGCCTCCTGATGCCTCTCATACTGATTGTAGGCATTAATCATACTGTTCCAAGAAACAATGTTTCTCTGCGGCATTTTGTTGAACAGGTCTCTTGCTATCTTCAAACTACCACATTTGGCATACATTTCAAGAATTGCAGTTGCAAGGATGATGTTACTATTCGATGTGGACATGAAGGGATCATAACCAGCCTTACGAATGCGCTGATGGACCCGTCGTCCGGTATCGATTTCTCTACTACGGGCACAGGCAATCAAAGCATTCACCATGGTGATTTCATTGGGCTCTACACCCCAATGGCACATGTTTTCAAACACCTTTAGAGCAGCATATGGCTGGTTATTGTTCACATACCCAGAAATCAAACAAGTCCAAGCAACCACATTCCACTTGGGAATATTATCAAACACTTTCAATCCTGACTTCATATCTGCACATGACACATACATATGGAGTAACCCAGTAGCAGTATAGACATCAGCTTCAAACCCAGATTTCACTATGCGGCTATGAGTGCATTTTCCACAATCTTGATCAGCAATTAAAGAACTTGCTTTGAGTACAAATGGGAATGTAAAATGATCTGGGGAATACCCATTTTCTATCATTTGACTGTACAGAAGGATCGACATTCTTGGATTGTGACCGTTAACAAAACCTCGTATCATGGAGTTCCAAATGTAAACGCTGGGGTTATCAATTTGGCGAAATACTAAGTCTGCATAACTGATGTCCCCAAATTCTGAATCAACACAGAAGTCAATAAGCTTGCTCAAAGGGATTATGCTTTTAATAGTTGGTGTTGTGACTATTAGCCCATGCAATTTTTTCAATTCACTCATACTTTTGCATTTTGCTAAAAGAGAGAGAATGGTGTTTTGGTGTATCATCCTCAATTATTTGGTTAATAACAATCCCACCTAGGCCTTTATACTATTAAGGGGCATTGTGGTGCCCTCTAAAATAAACCAAGATCACAATCTACCAGGTTTATATTCATGAAAATGGTTGAGCTCACAAACAAAGCGATGTCGATAGCTGGAATATTTTAATAGTAACAATTTTTAGACATGTGATAGCATTGTCTCAAGTTATCTGCAATAGCCATGTGAAGAGAAAATTAAGAACCGGTGTGTTTTCAAGTGAAAATTATGCCTCTATTTATTGGTGAAGAAGAACCTATGATTGAAAAAAATGGAGTTCATCTACAAAATATGACCATTTAATAGACTCAATCAAATAGGATATAAAAATATTTTTAGAACTCATATTACCACGTGTAATGGGCAGAAAATCGACAAATATGTATTGCAATAGGTGCATGAGGCCCATCCTAAGTGTACCATTGCTTGTTTGTTTGAAAAGTGTTACAAAAATTGTATATAAATATATACTCTCAAGATATACCAAGTAACTATGTCTTTTGAAATATCTCAACATCTTTGTAATTTACATACAAAAGCTAGTCTATTCCTAGGAAATCATTTGCCCATGACTAATGGCATGTCATCGTCACTTCAAAGCAACCATATAGCATCTACATGCCATGTAACATTTGCCACCAAAATTGCTATTGCCGGTTATCATCTCAATTATCCACGACGACCAAGTTATCATAATCAGTTTCAGTATTTAAACATAAAACAGTTGAAGTGCATACGATATTATATAAAGTTATTTTTATCTCTCAATTTTTATGTTGTGTATACACTTATCTAAAAAAATACACAAAATTAGAGGGCGAAACATTTTTCAAGAGGCGACATTTTTTTCATACACTAATATATTATTTTACTATATATGATTACTCTGAATAATAAAATTCTTTATCTAAATATTTAATGCAGCGACAGTTGGACTTGTTGCGCGTCAATGCTTGCCCTCGACCATGACACTGCAATTTACAGCCTTTTTTTCCTTTTATATTTTTTCAGATTTGTAACGGTAGTTGAACTAGGGAAAGAATGCAGTCACTGAAAGTATAAAATAAGAAAAATTCAATGCAATCTCCCCATGTTTAATATAAAGATTGCACCCTTTTGGGAAACTACCCAGAATGAGTAAATTGTTTCAATTTGACAGAAGCATGGGAATGCATACGGAAATAAAAGTATCAAAGAAATGTATGTATTCATTCTCCGTTACTTGGCTGTATATGCATTGGAAAATTGAGCAAAAATGTTCCATCTGGAAGCAGCAAAAGATGAATAAACTACCAGAGATGCATATCGGTGATTATCAGTTTGTGATTGAATGACAGCAAGACATGCATTGTTTAAGGAATGTGCATGATTGAATGACAGCAAGACATACATTATTTATTCTTAAATGTTACTTAGTCATTTTGTTACTTACATAGAATGTTTGTAAATTGTAAAAAATGATTAGCTGACTAATTTGTACTGTGTTTTTTTCGTGGATCACCCTTGAAATACGAATATGAATCTTTTAAGTAATCAATACGTGTCTCGGGCATATACGCGTACGGCATAAAACATCATTACATTTTGCATTTCTTTAATGTCATTTCCTGTAGATAGATAAGCCGCGTAGTTTGGATTCATAAAATGAAGATTAGTAATAATCATTCCGTGTCGGAATATTGTAACAGCACATACATGGTTGGATGAGTAAAAAGCAATTGCACTTGATACCATAACTGACACTACCCAATGATGAAAACAAAATCCAACAAGTTAAGAAAATAAACGTGAACACTAACGAGTTATTCAGGAAATCCATGCACGTATTAGATGTCCAACCAAGAATTAATGATTGATTGGCAAAAGGGAATGCCCACAAAGAAGAAAGAGATCATATTATATAATGACGTTGCTATTTCTCATACATATCATATCATCATTTTATTCCTTGCTAGAGAAAACGTTGAAAGTGGGCATGGCCAATAATAATGTCATAGAGTGTAGCAATAAGGGTACTCTAAGAAAGAGTGATTCGTGGCCATATAGAATGAAGCTTACAACGGATCGTATGAGATGGGATAGCCTCAAGATCTCACCTTCTAAGGAGTTTGAAGAATGCATTCTAGAACACATGAATGAAAGTAGCCGCAAAGATTTGGAGTCGTGGATTCCGGTGAACATAATGATTCATGATGTTGATACTTGTGAAACATATGAAACTAAGTTGTCTAAGAAAGAGTCGTTTTGGTTTGATCCTATGCCTGCTTTGGGTGAAAAGCCAAAGGAAGGTGAGTTGTCATGTTCTTTGAAGAAATCAATGAGGGAACCACCTTGTTACAATTTGGAGAAGGCAAGGGAAGAGTTTGCTTATTCGATTGAGCCTTTTAGACACATTATAAGGAAAAGAGATTTGAAATATGATCAAGAAATTGGACTTCGCTATTGTGGTGGCAAAGTCGTGGTAGCATTCGAGTTTTCGGTTCTGCATTCCTCACTCTTGGGTATTCGTCGCATTAAGAGTCTAGATTGTGACTTTGTATAGATGTAAATGATGATTGATTGATGAAGCATGAGATGTTCGTATTCGATCGTTTTAAATGATCAAGTTGTTAATTACCTATAACTATTTGTATTTTTTTGGTAGTGGTATTTGACTCGATGCTACGTAGTAATCCATAAAATTTGCATATATTATATATACCAGCCTGCGTAGTATCTTGTACATACGCAAGCATTTGGTTAAAATTTCTACCCTTGGTTATTATAATAAGTTCATATTCTTCAATACAAAAAAAAATAAAAAAATCCCAATATTCATACAAAAAATTAAATAATGTATTCTATCGTTTTTTCACGATCATATTCATAAATAAAAAAAAGATTAAATTAAAATTTTGATCTACACACTGCACACCATTCCCCGCGCGTTTTAGTTTTATACTGAAAATTAATTTTGATTTCTACAAGAAAAAACATTTACTAAAGGAGGAAAAACAACATTAAATATAACTTTGTTTGAATCTCTGAAGGAAATAAATATATATTATAATTTGTTTTCTTTATTATTTGTTGAAGTTATAATATACAACTATATTTGTTCCTTGTATTTTGACCCCATCTTCCATTGTAATTCATATATCTATATTTGTTCCTTGTATTTTGACCCCATCTTCCATTGTAATTCATATATGTACGATAAAAAACTTATCATCTTAATTTGGTTTTCACAAGAATATTTTATTTTTTATAACAATGTTAGTACAAGGTATCTATTAGTTTTGTTAGTGAGTAATTTTTTTGTTAAAAATTTAATTAATGATATTTTTAGTTGAGTTTTCTTTCTAATCATTACCGTCATCACCACTATCATTATAATTATTGTTGTTGTCACCACTTGCATTGTTATTGTTGCAAATGATAGCGGTGGCGCGACCCAACAACAAGGGTAGCATCATAATGATGGTGACAATTATGTCACCATTATTATTATTATTATCATTATCTTTGTCATATGGTGATAACCACATATTTACCATCATTACTATTGAGATTATTATTATTTTTGTTGTCGTTATCACTAGTAGTGTCACCAATGACAGTTACAATAATAATGGTGATAACAGTGATAGATGTAAAAAAATAATAATAATAATTTTGTAAGAGAGTGTATATTTAATCTTGACTATTAGTTATATTTATCAATAATTTAATAACTATAATTTATCCCCCTTATCTCTTACTAGCAGGAAAAAGGTACTACGTACCTATATTATATTAAATAAATAAATAAATAAATAAGAAGTTATTCATAAAAAGGTAATTATTAAAAAATAAATAAAGGATAAAATAGTTCATATAAAAATGAAAATTAAAAGTAATTATTGAAAGTGAAATCCCTTTATATATTAGTATAAATTCATTAGCTTCAAGATTTTAAATTTGATTAAAAATATTTTTAATAAAAGGGTATAATGGTCAAAAAAGTGGAGACCAAAGTAGTTACAAAAAAGTGTATCCCCTTTATATATTAGTATAGATTAGTATAGATAATAAGACACACTCTTATAAGTGTGTGTATATATAGACACACTTATACTTATTTCTTCACTTCTGGATTTATTTTAAATAAATGATTAAAAAAATTACTTAAATTTAACCAAATTTGTAACAAGTGTTTTTTTTTTATTAATTTCTAAAATAAAAATTTATACACCTAAATAGTAGTTAAATTAATCAAGTATTCTGAAAATTATTAGTTACTACTCATTTTTTTTATAAAAATAAATATAATTATTAGTCAAAAAGATTTTACCTTGATTTTTGTAAATGTCATTAAATATAACCACCACTTACACTATTTAATTTTATAAAAAAAATTAAAATTAAAATTAAAATTATGAAGTCATTAATTATAATTAATTTAGCTATTTTTAATTAGCATTAGTAAATTAAGTATTTATCTTTCATAAGAATCGGGGGAATTATTAATTTAATAATAACAATTTTGTTTTTAAAAAAAAAAAAAGCTGAGCTGGAAAGTCGTTATTGCTACCTAAATGTTGGGCCCGGAACTGAGAAAATGAAAAAGGTTTGTTAGTTTTTAATAAATAAAGAGCGCACGCATTCCTCATGGTTCTCCACTCCAATATTGAAACATAAGAAGACTACAGAGATTGGAGAGAGAGAGAAGAAGAAGAAAAAGCAATGAGTGAGTGAGTGAGATCAGAAGAATAACATAAATAAAATGGAGGTTAAGGCCAGAGCTCCCGGGAAGATTATCTTAACCGGCGAACACGCGGTGGTTCACGGATCCACTGCAGTTGCCACTTCTATCGGCTTATACACCTACGTTTCTCTCCGCTTCACCACTCCTTCCGGTAATACACTTTCCATATCCCTGATTCCTTTTCTCTGTTTTCAGATTCCGATTCAACTGCCATGTGTTCTTGTGTAACAGACGACGAGGATTTGTTGAAGCTCCATCTGAAGGACACGGCGTTGGAGTTCTCGTGGCCGGTGAGTAGAGTGAGAGGAGCGTTTCCTGAATCCGCCGCTCAGCTATCCTCCACGCCAACCTCGTGTTCCGTCGAGAACGCCAAAGCAATTGCGGCACTCGTCGAACACCTTGACATTCCAGAGGCCAAAATTGGACTCGCCTCTGGCGTTTCCGCTTTCCTCTGGTTGTACTCCTCCATTCAAGGGTTTCAACTCTCTCAACTCCAAATCCGTTTTGTTTTGTTTGCTATTGTAGTTCACAATTTAGATCCTGTTGTGTCTCTTGTTTATATCTAGTTTTGATTATTTGTGTGTAGATTTAAGCCTGCTACTGTGGTTGTTACTTCTGAGCTTCCTCTCGGCTCCGGCTTGGGTTCGTCGGCCTCGTATTGCGTGGCGCTGGCGGCGGCCTTGCTGGCTTGCACGGATTCGGTTTCAACGGATGTGAACCATCAAGGATGGCTCTCCTTTGGGGAGAAGGATCTTGAGTTGGTCAATAAATGGGCCTTTGAAGGGGAGAAGATCATTCATGGAAAGCCCTCTGGAATTGACAACACAGTAAGCGCATATGGTAGGCCTCAGTTACAAAATTATTTTTCTAGTTATTCATGATGGCTGTTTTAGTTTGTTGTATGGCTAGATTGGATTGGAAGGATCATGATACTCTATTAAACTGCATGGATCTCAACCATCCAAATAAAATACTACTTATATAAAATATTAACTATGATGCACGGTGTGGGACTCCCGTGTCGCACTGTCCAACACTTTTCTGAAGGGAACACTCCACGAACACGAGGCGCACTGTCTCCATCCTGACATGTGCGGCCCAACTCTCGGATACGCGGATTTAAGATTTTTTTTAAAAAAGAAACTTGATAGAAAACAGAAACAAGAAAAAGAATCGTTCTTGTTTTTCCTTACTTAATTTTCAAGTAACAGAATCAGAGTCATAGAATTGAAACTAATCGAGAGGTTTTTTGTTGGGGACTAAGGTGCCTCTTAATAATTTGTTTGAGACTTAGTAAGTTATCATCATATCAATATATAATTTTTTGTTATGTTATTTATATTATATGTCATGCATATGTCATGTTTACGTGCTCTATGTTTTTTGATTTTGCCGTAACCTTCTATCCATGTTTCTATTGTGTCCCTATGTCGTGTCTGAATCTGTGCTACATAGAATATTAATGAAAAAACATAATTAAAATATAACCAATGGTACATGATCAAACTGCACACCCTGCAGTCTGCAGGGGATCTGGATCTGAATTGGAATATGATTGATGAGTTTTTGTCTCTTGGTATGGTAGGAGTCGGAAGAGGATGAATTAAATGCTTTGTGTGGTTATGAAAATTGAAAACCTATGGGAACAATCTGTATTTCTCTTTTACCGAGTCTGTTAATACTTAATAATCTCACCTTATAATGGGTATAGTTTTACACTATTAACTTATTATATATGATGATTTGTAATTGGATGACAGTGTAAAATTATTTTACACTATCTGCAAATAATCTATTTTCTCATTAATTTTATGTGGCACTGGAGGAATAATTTAAGGTCGTGAATTGTGACCTACTGCTTTGTGCAAGTGAATTGAGAAATATGCTATAATTTTAGGTCGGAGATGTATCATTGAAAATTATGATTTGGTTTAATTATCATGTACTTTGTTTACATGCGGAAGTTACTGCCATTGAATCTGCAACTCATTTGATGGTTTCCGTTATCAGGTAACATTATCAGCTTCAAGTCAGGTAACTTGACGCATATGAAGTCAGATATGACACTTAAAATGCTCATTACTAACACCAAAGTAGGGAGAAACACAAAAGCATTGGTGGCTGGTGTTTCGGAGAGGATGCTGAGGCATCCGGATATAATGGCTTTTGTGTTTAGTGCTGTTGATTCTATTAGCAACGAATTGACAGCCATTCTCAAGTCACCCACACCAGATGAGCTCTCTGTGACTGAGAAAGAAGAAAAGATAGAAGAACTAATGGAAATGAATCAAGGACTGCTCCAGAGTATGGGGGTTAGTCATGCCACAATAGAAACTGTTCTTCGAACAACATTGAAGTACAAGTTAGCTTCCAAATTGACAGGAGCCGGTGGTGGGGGTTGTGTTCTGACACTGCTTCCAACATGTATCCTCTTCAATTATTGTTCTTTTTCTTATGCTTCTATTGTTTTTCATTACACCTCTGCTTTTCTTTTATTTTCTTGTCTACTTTAAGTTGATAACCTATGTTTGCTTCTATTAATCTCTTTGGTTCAAAAGAAGGGCAGGGAAGAAGGGAAAGGGAATGACTCCTTGTTTGGTTTGCAAGGGGAGGTGAGGGAAAATAAAATAATATACTATCTTACTCTTAGAATATACAAATAAAACCATCAAGTTCAAGTATTCAAACTAATGATAATTTAATCTGCACATGTTACAAACTTCAACTCTTCAAGCATTTTCCCTCTCCTTCAAATCCTCTAAATATCAGAGGAGACAAAAATATCAGGGAAGGTGTTTTTACCTCCTTATTTCTTTTCCTCTTCCTTTCATTCCCCTTTAACAAAACATAATGTTACTTTCTGCCAAAAGGGTTGACCTGACGTTCTGATTTTTATATGCATCCTTGTTAAATATGCCTGCATTTTGTGTATATATACACATAAAAGCACTTATAATGTCCTAAATAGGCCTTTTTTGGATTAACTTTTAGCTTATGAGAGATTTTAAATTGAAATAAGTACGAGAGATCTCAGAAATTTGAGTTAGGTGCATATGAAGTTATGAGAGAACTTATGGAGAGGTTAAATAAGGAAACTTCTAAAAAGGTTCAGGATTGTAACTTGCAAGTACTTATTCAGAAATTTATCATTAGTGCATGAGGTGCATTCGTGTTTGTTGAAAGTTACATGAGGAAACTTCTTGATTTGTTTTATTTTTATCTCCTTTAAGTGTTTGTTAAGATATATGAGCATAAGCATGGCTAGAACATCTACGCATTCATCTATTATTATCTGACTCACTTTAGCTCCCCGCAGTGTTAATCTAGTTCAAACATCATAGTTTTCTTTCTCTAGATACTCTTTAGGTGTTTTAAAACACAATTTTCTGGTGGTGGATTATTATTGTCTACATAATAATAGAAATCAAAGTTACTCCCTGCGGCGCATCATGATTTTATAGTTTCTAAGTATCCTTGATATATCTTTTAATACCTTCCTTAACATGCTGTAATCAGTGTTATCAGGCACCGTTGTTGATAAAGTAGTTTCTGAACTGGAGTCATGCGGGTTCCAGTGTTTCATTGCTGAAATTGGCGGGACAGGTGTTGAAATTAACTTTGGGGCATCATCTTGATTTTCTATTTTTTCCAAGGAGCGCATCATTGATCAAAGTATCAGATCCTCAAATAAACAGCATTGAATATATGCTTCCTTTTTACATATTGTGCATCAATCTGTATTTTTTTTTAATTGATTTGAACATTTTCAATTCAATTTTGAACGATATTTCACAAGGCACACACACTACATATATAGAATTTAATAAAACTTACTTTTTATTAGATAAAAAATTGCGGTTGCATTAAGTAACTGCCGAATGTGTTTTAGAAACTGTATGAAGAAGAACGTTTTTGAGCGCCACAATGGGTGATTCAGCTACTAATTACCCATTCGTATGTACTATGTTTCCAAGCCATTTTTTTTGTTTGGTGGATGGAGAACCAGTTTATATTTTTAGACTCGTGAGAGATGAATAGATCCATTTTCTTGACCCAGGAAAAAAAAATAGCAGATCCTTTGCATAAAGTCGGAAATATAGTGATATTCATTAATGAGGATATTCTCTTAAATACGCAAGCTACTTTGTTTTTCGGTCAAGAATTACACAAGCAATTAATGATTTGTTTGTTTTGTCAATGAGACCTACTTAAACTGTCAGTTGAGCTACAGGCAATTTGTTTTTCCTTGACATGGAGTGCATTGGTTGATGCAATTTCTGTTTCTGTTGAGAAAAGCGGAAAAATGTAAAACAATCTGGCATTAAGATAGTTTCTTCATTGTCATAGATGCTAATAATTTAAGTTAGTTGTTCCTTAATCTGTCTTTATCTTTAAAGATAAGGATATATGTATTTAATTCCAGGAACACAGCAACTGGCACAAACAAGATTTCTTTGTTATATGACAGTTACAGACTTACAGTGGCCTTACACATTGTAAAGAATATTACATATTATTCCAAAATAAAACGTTTAGGAATTGAATTTCATTTTTTGTGTGAAGTTACTAAAAATGGGAACCTAGACATACAAACGATTCACACGAAGAAGAGCTTAATAGATGTCTGAACCAAGTCTGAAAATACAAACAAATTCAGTGCAGGCCCATAGCACACAATTGTAGAACACAAAAGATTGACTGTCGTAGTACCACAACTTTGATCACTTCCCGATTTACACGTTTTTTTAGTGATTTCTGTGTCTCCACCCAGCAACCAAACAATCTCACGTGACACAAATTTCTATAACCACACTTATAATGTTATATAAAAAGAGTTAATCACCTGTACACTGTCAGTGTAAAGATTTTTTCAGTGACAGTCAATTAAAATCGTTAATAGTATCTTTTCATCTGCTCATTTAATTAAATTAAAATAAAAAATGCACTGTTAACGGTTTTGATTGACTACCAATATAAAAAAACTTTACACTGGCAGTGTATAAGTGATTAACTCATATAAAAATAGTCATTTAGAGTTTTGATAACATCAGAGAGACTGTGGCTATGGCAAAAGCGTCAGACTGCGATTGTCTGTAATGGCCGCATCCGTCTACAACAAATATACAATAGACTACTAATTTATTATATGTTTGGATGCAATTCATTCGCTTGGTTTCCACTAGATTTAATATTTATTCATTCCATACACACCGGTACTCTTCTAACTGCCATTCTTAACATAGTTCACGTGGACAAGAACCCCAAACACATTACATATGCAATCTTTGATTCGATCATTTATCCTTCTTCAAGTGTTGACAATGATCCCCCCTGAAAAGAGACAGAAAATTAACCCAATTAATCAATGAACAACATGTGAATGAGGTGTTAAGATATGTATGAGTAATGGGTGTATATGTATCATATGACACCATTGGGGTGGAGGACTTGGCCAGTTATGTAAGAGGAACATTGGTTGCTTGCAAGAAACACATAAGACGGAGCAACCTCAACAGGCTGGCCAGCTCTCTTCATTGGCGTCACATCCGTACCAAACACTACAATTTCTTCCTCTGTCAAACTGGCTACTTGTAAGGGAGTCCATGTGGGTCCAGGCGCAACCCCGTTCACTCTTATTCCCTTTGTCACAACCTGAAGCGCCAGAGACCTCGTAAACCCCACAATCGCACCCTTCGTTGACGTGTAATCCACTAGTGTTGCGTATCCCTTGTATGCTGTCACTGATGTTGTGTTTATAATGCTGCTTCCTTCCTTCATGTGCCTCAAGGCATGCCTATGTAAAATTATATATTATGGTCTTAATTATATCCAAATCAATATATGCACCTACTTTATGTAACGAAAAATAAGTTGGAGGTAGAGATTTATATCATGTGTGTTACTTGGTCATGAAAAAATAGGAAAAGATATTAGTTCGGAACACCCTCTCGAGTCTTGCTTCATCAATCTCTTCCAACGAATCACTCTCGTACTGCTCAGCTGCATTGTTGACCAGAATGTCAATGTGGCCATAAGCGTTGACCACTTGGTTCACCACTTTTTTGCAATTCTCTTCATAACCTAAGTCAACTGGTATAGCCATTGGATCTTTGGCATCTTTAGTCTTAGCCTTTCTTATAATTTCAAGGGTGTCTCTTGCGTCTATGTCTTCTTGCCCTTTCACGTATGTGAAGATGACAGTTGCACCCTCCAATGAAAACAAGTTGGACACAGCTCTTCCAATTCCTGA